CCACTGCAATGCCCCCTTCTCACGAGAGCAAGTTGGCAAAGCTGTGAATTATTGCCTCTGCCATTTTAAAGTACATCTGTCTGATTCCCACTACTGTTGGGCATCAGGGGTAGGGGAAATATAAAGTCAGGCATAATGGGTAGGGAATCCTGATTCCTGGAAGACTGGTTTCCACAGCCCCATTAAAGGGGTTAACCGCAGCTCGTTTTGAGTTCCTGTAAACGATGTTCTCGCTCTCCCCTCCTCCCCCCCAGGCCTTGCCCCAATGCCCAGAGGTGGGGGAGGCGGAGAAACAAAACAAACCTGGCCTCTGTGTGCTGTGATTGCGACACTCTTTCTTTAGAAGAGGAGTCAAAAGTGTGCAAACACCAGCTTATTTTCCAGAAGTAGGATCAAACTTCTGAAACCCGGGTGGGAGTGCCTGCCAGGATTCGCCAGCCCCCAGCACCACTCAGTACTGCCCTTATTTTCCTTCTCTGATTCCCCCCAAACTTCCACCCCATTTCTGAGTTTCTTTATAGCCCTTAGTGGTTGGACTCTTGTTTTGACAACCTTGTGCCTGGTCTTTGTCACCCTGCAAGGCTTGGTTCCTTCTTTCTCAGAAACTCATTGAATCTATCTGAACAATGAAACTGATGATAGTTCCTGCTGTTTGGACAATTAAAGGAGCTAAGATGCCTCAAAGCCCCTAGACCTGAGGGATGGAGGGAAAGAGCAGCAAGGCACCCCCTGGGAGGGATAGAGGTGAGCACAGGGATGCTTTTTTACTGTTGTGTGTGAAGTTTGGGAGGGGGATGGTGGGCAAGACAAGCCAGAAGGGAGGGGGCAGGGGAGGTGGCTTGTGGGGGGACTTTCAGTTAGCCCAGCATGTGAGCAAGGAGGGCGGAAGGGCAAGGCCACCTGATCAGATGGTAAGGGGGCCACCAGAGACATGTTTGTACTAATAAAGCACCTGCTATTTAGCTGAAATTCAAATTTAACTGGGCCTCCTGTCATTTGCCTGACCTTAGCTGGGCTGCAGGGAGAGAAGAGGAAGGAAGTGGGGAGGACTTCTGCCTGGGGAGCCCGGGCACCCCTCTCCCACGCACACCAACCTGGGCACAGTTCTCTCCCTGCCGCAGCCCCATCCTTTCTCCACAGAGGCATTGCCAGGCCTGGAAACAGCAAGAAGTCCCCTTCACCTCTGGTCCCCCCACCCTCGGTCCCCGCTTCCAAGACAGGATCCTTGCTACACCCTCCACGACCCACAGCCAGGTCTCCCTCCGCCTGTCCCGGTCCCACTCATTACTCATTAACTCAGAGGTAACCTTGACCTGGTTGAATCAATCCATCTGCCCTATGGCTCCTTCACCCCATGACCTCATGCACACTCAGCAGAGGCCTGGGCAGCAGGGGCCATCCCCCCCGCCCCCCCGCTTCCTGGGAGTAAGCAGCAGGCAGGTTTCGATTCTAGTTTTAACTTCTCTGAGGCTTTTCTCGATCTGTACACTGGACATTCTGTCATGGTGCCTCCCTCCAAATCGGGGTGGCGAGCAGGTGGCTTCAGGCAAGCAGAATGCTCAGTGTAACACCCTGCGCATAGCGAGCGCTGGGTGTGCTTGAACCATATATTTTTGCTAACACCTGCTCCTATTTCCTCTTGCTGACAGCCCCAACAGGCCTCCCAGCCCAATTCCTCCCTGCCTCCCCCTCCCTGGCCCTCTGCGCCCAGCGCTCGCCAACCCTGGGACTGTTTCTCTGAGCCCATCCCTTCTCTCCAGCCCTGTGCTGCCTGGCTTCCCTCCGGTAGACTCGCCTCTTCCAGTTCATCTAGACCACATTAACTAAGGATTTGTTCCTAAAACAAACCTTTGTATTCCTTTACAAAGCTATGATGTATGATACATGAGTATATGCTACTGACGGCAAATGTTTCCATAAGATTCAGTTGGCAACATTGTTTCTATTTCATGTAGTTTATTTCACATGCCATAGGTGCTACCTCTATCCCCACTTTACAAATGAAAAAACTGAGGGCTTTGGCCACATGCTCAAGATCCTGTAGCTGGTGAGACCTGGGATTTGAACCCAGACAGCTGGACTCCAGAGTTTGTGCTCCTAAACTGTGTTGTGTTTTTGAGTGCTGCTATAACAAATGACTGCAAGTGTGGTGGCTTAAAACAACGTCTATTCATTGTCTTATAGTTCTGGAGGGTAGAAGTCTGAAATCAAGGCATTGGCAGGGCTAGTTCCATCTGGAAGCTTCAGAGGAGAATCTGTTCCCTGCCTTTTCCAGCTTCTAGAAGCTGCCTGCATTCCTTGGCTCATGGCTCCTTCTTCATCTTTAAAGCACATCACTCCAGTCTGTTTCCATCATCACATCACATCCTCTGACTCTGATCCTTCTGCCTCCCTCTTATAAGGACCCGTGATGACATTGGACCCACCTGAATAATCCAGAAGAAGCCCCCATTCAAAGATCCTCTACTATTGTATTGGCAAAGTGTCTTTTGTCATGTTACGTAACATATTCACAGGTCCCGGGAATTAGGATGTGGACATCTTTGGGGAGCCATGACTCTGCCTGCCCCAGCAAGCATGTGGGTAAAATATTGACCCTGTATGGCCATATCCCTCCCTGCTTCAAACTCTTCCTTGGTGCCAATGGTCCCCAGCACAAAGTCCAAGTGCGTCTGCTTGTTTTTAAGTTTCTGCCAGCTGTTCTTGCCTTCTCGCTGGCCCCAGCCAACGCTGCAGTGGGACTTGAAAGCTATTCTGGGCTTCTCTACCTTGCTCAGATAACTTCCTCACTCTGCAGTGCCTTCCCACTTCCTTGTCCGGCTGGGCTATTTATTCATCTGAGCCCCAATTAGATTTGTTTCTGTCTGCAAAAAGGCTTAACCTCAGCCTGGTTCTTTACCCTATGTCCTATGCCAGTGGCCCCTACTGAGGAATGTTTCTCAAAGCTTCAGAAGGGGTCCGGAGGCTCTAATTAAAGGGAGAGGTTGGGTCTTGACTGGTGTCGCTCAGGGGGTTGGGTTGCCAATTAGATTCCTGGTCAGGGCACACCCCTGGGTTGTGGACCAGGTTCTCCAGTTGAGGGCTGGGAGCGTGAGAGGCGGCCTATCAGTGTTTCTCTTTCTCCCTCCCTTGCCCTCTCTTTAAAAAAAAAAACACCCATTTTTTTTTTTTTTTTAAGGGCGAGGTTGGGCTGGGGAGGATGAAATGCATTTTGGGAGTCTGTCCACAGGTGTGTGCACAGGTCTGTCTCTAACCTGAGTTCACTCCCCAAGGTTTGGGCAGTCCATGAAAGGCCAGGCTATGTTGCTTGGCACTGCACTGAGCTAGAAAGACACTCCCATGTGACATTCAATGACCCCCATTTTACATGTGAGGAAACAAGAGATTAAGCCCCTTATCCAGTGCCTCGCAGCAAATAAACGCAAGATAAAGGTATGGTCACTGACCTTTTGAGTCCTGAGTCTCCTATCTACTCCTTAGCTGTATGACCTTGGCCAAGTTACACAGTCTTTCTGTGCCTCAAAAGCTTTGTAATGAGTTAAGCTCCAAGGAGAGCTACTACTTATACTTGTCCCCTGAGCCGCTTGTGGGTCTTTCAGTCACCACTCTTCCTCCCCTCCAGCCTTCGCACATGCTGTTCCCTCATCTGGACCTGCATCCTTCCCGGCACTTCTCCATTCACCTTTCCTGACTTCCCAGGCCGAGTCAGGGCCTTGTGATTAAACTGTCTGGTGACATGTCCCTCTCCCAACCTCCCTACCCTCAGGGGCTGTGAACCCCTTGAATGATGGGACAGGGTGGGTCTTGGTCACTGCTCTGTCCTCAGTGCTCGACATAGGGTTCACACACAGAAGTTGCTCAATTCATTGTTATTGTCTGTGTAAAGCAATGGATACTGCAACAGCCCCGCTCCAGGGAATACAGGCTTCTAAACTGTAAACGCAACCCGTGCCAGACCTCAACCCCCAGAAAGGCAAGAAACCAGGGGAGCAAAAACAGATTGATTATTTTTTTATTTTTTAAAAAGATTTTATTTATTTTTTAGAGAGGGGAAGAGAGAGAAAGAAACATCAAAGCGTGGTTGCATTTTGCACACCCCCTGCTGGGGACCTGGCCTGCAACCCAGGCATGTGCCCTGACTGGGAATTGAACCAGAGACCCTTTGGTTTGCAGGTCGGTGCTCAGTCCACCGAGCCACACCAGCTAGGGCTTTTTTTTTTTTTAATCCTTACCTGAGGATATGTTTATTGATTTTTAGAAAAACATCTATTGGTCGCTTCCGTGTCAAACCCTGACTGGGGATGAACCTCCAACCTAAGTATGCGCCCTGATGGGGGATAGAACCTGCAAACCTTTGGTGTATGGAACAAGACTCCAACCAACTGAGTCACCTGGCCAGGGCCAGACTGGTCATTACCGTGTGGCTGCAAGCAAGGGGTGGTACCATGTGAGGACAGGGCTGCTCTGTACTTCAGGGAAGAGGGGGCTCTCTGTCTTCTTCTGAATGGGCTTTGGGATCGGCACCTGAGGGAGCTGGGCGCCTTATGCACACAGAACCTCCTCCTACTCAACCCCGCACTTTGGGAGAGAAGCTGGAGTGAAGAATGTGTGTGAGCGGAGGAGGAAGGGGGAAGGTGAAAGAGCGTGCTCCGAGATCGGGGGATGATGGATGATCACAACAGCTCCTACCCACGGGCTGTTTAGTTGACTTTGGGCAGGCCTTCCCGGAGGGCTGAATGGAATATTCTAGAGGCAGACAGCAAGGTAGTCCTGGAGCTGAGGGGTGCCAGGCGCCGCCCTCATAGTCCTCATCAAATTCAACCTCTGAACCTTCTGGCACCGCCCCCAGAACTGTCTAAGTCTCACTCTACTCCACTCCCAGAACCGCCAGCTGGCCCAAGAGTTGCCGAGCCCCGCCCGCCCTCCTTCCACCCAATCCAACCCCAGAGCCTCTGGCCCCACCCACTAGAGTCCTGTCCACTCTAGGCCGGGGCTTACACTTACTGAGGGGGATTGTGTCCTGCCTGTTGGAACTTGCACCTGTGGTGAGCAAAATCTGGGGGACAGGGTGGGGGAGGCAAGCAGGAGTGTTAGGCACACACCCATCTCCCCCACCTCCATTGTTGGCCTCCTTTGCCACCCTACCTGAGGCATCTGTTCTCACCTGGGACAGCGACTGCCACTGGAAGGGCATGGCCACCTGCAGTAGGGTGGTAATGATCTGTGTGAAGTAGATATAACAGGTGACTTGCAAGGGACATGGGTGAGCATGGGGCCTGGTAAGATCAGAGGGTCCATTAGAGATGCATGGAGCGGGGCCCACGGAGAGAGAGCAGAGAGCTAAGTGGTGGAGCTCAGATACACTGCAGGAGGGGCTAGGGAGGGTGTGCCAAGGGGCTGGCTGTCCTCCCCCTCAAAACTTCCCTCACAAGTGGAAATGAGGTTCCTACCATGACACAGTAATGCCGAAACAGCGTCATTTTGGCCAGGTCCACTGCCACTGAGGCGTAGGCACAGGGAGCTGGAGTCAGGGGACGGGGGCTAGGGGCAGGACCAAGGGGGGAGAGGTGGAGGCGGGCTGGGCACAGGAGGACATGTGGCAGAAAGTCCAGAGGGGAATGTCCAGGAGACAGTGAGGTGGGTAGAGAAGCAGGGGGGGTCAGTCAGAGGGGAGGGAAGGGACATCCAGGGGGTAGCACGAAGGGCCTGGAGCACAGCGGGTCCCAGGGAGCAGGGCTTCATCCTTCCCGTTGGTACCAAATACTCCCTGAAGGTGCCGATGGGCCTGGGAAGGCGTGGGGGACCCAGGGAACAGTCAGTGCTGCCTCCACGCATCTTCACGGGGCGGCGGGGGGGTGGGGGTGGCGGTCTGGGCCTCCAGGAGGGCGGGGGCAGAGTCCTCACCAGACCACAGGAAAGAGGATGGCATTGCAACTGATACGACCCACCAGAAAGAGAAGCCCGTAGTCGCTGACGTCCTCCTCGCCAGGCTCGACGATGATGCAGGCCATGCCGGCCAGGACCTGTGGGGCAGGGGTGGAGTGGGCCGGCCTGCCTGCTGCCTGCATGGGGCTCCAGAAGCACCTGTATTGGGATCGTGACCCCAAAGATCTCGTTGTCAAATGGAACACACTTAACAAAGGACGAGCTGGAACTGATCCATGCAATGGTGATGCAGAGGGCACCCTTCAGCCTAGAGGTCGGGGAGGGCGAGTGGTGAGATGGGGCACCCAGCCCTCCCCACCAACCTTCCCGGCAGAGGTCACTCTGCTGTGTGTGATGTACTGCATGACAGTGAGGTCATCGACGGGGCGGCCCTGGCTGTCGATGAAGTAATAGTTGATCTGGAGGTAGACAGATGGACAGACAGGTGGGCGGTGGTTATGGGTGGATGATGGTGGTTTAGGGACATGAACGGTCATTGTCAGATGGGCGGCTAGAAAGTCAACTGAACTGATGGTTATGATAAAGAGGGTGAGTGGACTCAGAAATGGACAGTCATAGTCCAGCAGATGGCTGGGCTGAGGGATGGGCAGCCATGGCCACAACAACGGAGGAAAGATCATAGATGGATGAACAGTAAGACAATCGGCCGGTAGACAGTCACAGCTGGACAGGACAGGTAGATAGATGAAGTGGAAAGACAGCTGGCAATGGTGATAAAATGGATGGACACACAGATGGCACATGGAACTTCCAAGCCCAAGGTCTGCAGAGGTTTGAGGAGTGGACTGTTTAACTGCTTGCTAGACCCAGGAACCCCAGACAGCCCCCGGATCCATGCCCAGGCTCTGACACTGTGGAAAAGGAGCAAGATACTCTTGGTGAAAGCCCGCATGAGCCAGTGGATCTAGGAGGTGTTGTACCTGGCAGGGGGTCAAGGGACAGAAAGGGATATGGAGGCATCAGTCAGGGGCAGGAATGGGAGGGAGTGTTGGGGACCACTTTGTGTGGTATTGTGAACTATACCCCGAGAAAGAATACGTTGTGTTTACTGAAGCTTGCTCTGCTTTGCACTGCCCTGATAAGGAAAAACCAGGTGTTTAACTTCACTATAAGGAAATAATTCCTGAGCCTCCAAAACTGTGCCTTAATGAGTATCTGGTGCCAACTTGTCTGACAGACCTTGATATAAGACAAATCTCTGTATTTCTTCAATTTATTATCTATAGCCTTTCTGGTGTAGAATGATAGACTTTGCATGCATCCTGTTTACCCCTGCACACATTTTGTTCTCAATAAAAGACACTTTAAGAGAAGGGCTCAGGGCATTCCCCACTAGAGGGAATTGCCACTCCTTTTTCCTGGCAGACCAAGAGTGTCTGGAACAACTTATTTCTTCATCCACAGCGGCTCGGGGAATCTGCAGGACGGGGTACCCCCCTCAAGGGAGTGGTGAAGAGAAGTGGGGGACTCCATGGGTCTAGCACATTAGGTGTTCTTGCAGAAGAAAGATACCCAGAGGACACGAGCAGCCAGGAAGCAGGCAGACAAGACCACAGAGAGCTTGAAAGGGGAATTTCCACCACTGACAGGAAGCCCTCAGTGTTCTTCTCCTGGATCATTACCTAGGAAGAGGGTAGTTGGGGGCAGGTCATGCTAGTGGCATTGCAGAACTATGTGTGGGAGTCTCCAGGGTCTCCAGCTCTCCCACTCTCTAGCTGGCTGACTCCCCCTCTGTGCCTCAGTCTTCCCACCTCCCAAATGGGTACATCAGCTTTCATTTCATACCACAGCTGCCAGGAGGACCGGACCAAACTAAACTCAGCACGGTATCCCTAAACTGTAGTTAGGGCTCCGTGAAACTGCTGCCCTCCCACCAACTGTGATGTCAAATGGCCACTCCTATCCCAGGATCAGGCTGTAGCATTTGTGGAAATTGAGGCTATCATGGTTTTCTTTGGCCCCGCAAGCCAATCACCATGTGGAACTGGGTAGTGGGGTGGACGGAGGGGACAGCTGGGGGTGATGAGGGGGCTGCGGGCGCTCACAGACACTCATGCTGTAGTTGTAGGAATTGTTGCGATGGCCCAGACCCCCACAGCTCCTTGTCCTTTCCACAGAGGCCCTGAGGGGAGAGAGAGCACCTCTGATGAACATCAGCTGGCCCAGGTCACCATTCACCAACCCCCCCACTCCCAAGGCCTGTCTCTTTCCTGCTCTGGCTTCCCCAAACTGTGGGCGGCAGTTAGACAGCCATGAGCAGAGCAGGGACCATGGGCCAGGTGCAGAGGGTCACCAGGGCGGAAAGCCCCAGGTGCGTAGCAACGGGGAAAACTGGAGAACGGGACCTCATCCCCAGGGTAACCTTTGCTCCCCTAGCGCATCACTGGTTGTGTGATTTACACCCCTTGACCCTTCATATCACTGTCATGCGGTTGGGGTCCTCCCCTGGCATATGACTAGTCCTGTGGCAGACCCCCTTGAAGAAGGAACAAGGGGTTGGAGAGTGGCTCATGTGACTCCCGTGTGGGCCCCAGCATGACCACTCCCTGAAGCATCAACCTCTAGGGGTAACATCTAGGCCTCAGATATGTTTCAGCTGCAGGCCCAGAAAAGCAGCAAAACCAAGAGACACCATGGCTGCCTCAGGACCAGCTGCATTGACTAATGACCCCCTGCCCTGGCACCAACGGATCAGTAGAGACCACGACCCTGAAAGGACACACTTGGAAAACTGATAAATATTTTATTAAGATCCTCCCGAGACCTCCCCTAAAATCCCTGCCTTTAAAACCCTCAAGACAAAGAGCCCAGCACATGCTCTGACTCCCTGGTGTGCCTGCTTGAATGTTTTCGAGCGTACTTTGCTCCGTCTCTCTCCTAAGCTCCAACAGCCCTTCTTTTGCTATCACTTGTTTCCTGAGCCCATTTCTTCTATAGCTCACTTCTCCTACCTCTGTGACTTTCTAAATAAACTTTCTCTTATAGTTTGTGTCTTAGCTCTGAATTCTTTTTAGCCAGGACTCAGGTACCGAGGTCCAGTCTGACTCCACTGGATAACACCTGGCGCCGTTTGTGACCCCAGTAGAACCTGCTGGTCTCCTGTGACACAGCAGGTTTTGACTTGATCTTGTTGAGCACAGTAGTGGTCCCTGCGGGGGATGAATGGATCAGTTTAGAGATGATGGACAGCAGGACAGCAGAAAACGTGGGCATGCACAAAGCAACTGCTCCCTCCCTGTGGCATGGCAGCCTGCCTCACCACTGTCACCTCGGCAGTGGCCGTGTGGTCTGGCTTCAGGAGTCCTGATTCAGAGAGCACACTGGGGAGGATCCTGGGGGCGATGAAGGGCTGCTTCTGCTCCCACACTGTTACACCTACACCCTGGAGTGAGGGTAGGGGGCAGGGGATAGATGAGGCCATGAGGCTAAAAGCTCAGGTCAGTCATGCCACCTGTGCAAAGGGACTCAATGGCCCCTAGGGCCCTCTAGGTCTTCTCTCTGGGGGTCAGCGTTGGGCTGAATCAGTGGTCGCAAACTTCCGGCATTCGGCCACCACCTATCAACATGGCTGTCATATCAATGCACTGCCTGCACCAGAGGTTATATCAGCACTTCCTGTGATGATGGCTCGTTCTACCGTAGTACCTTATAGAGGCAACATCTCTATATAGTGAGGTCCCATTGCACCATGGCAGGGTGCCTGGGTCCAAGTCCCAGTTCTCAGACCTGTTTTTGCATCTTCAGAATGGGCACAATTACAGAGTAAGGAGTGGATGAGTTAACACCCGTAAAGCTTGGAGGACGAGCTGCCTGGTGCACTGGGTGCATTCACCAAGTATGAACGACTGTTTGAACTCTCACGCCATTGTCTGGATCTTTTGCCCTGAGACCCCAACACTCCATGGGCATCCCACCCCTCTTCCTCTTTGCCATAATCAGAAGACTTGAAGGCAGAATTAGACAGCGTGTGGCTTTCTTCCTAAGGGCAGCAAAGTTCTTTTCACCTGGCTTCTCATACACCTGATCAGCTGATCGGTTCATGTGAGTACCACACCTAGGAAAACACAAATGATGCATCTTTAGGGTACGCCAACTCATTGCAGATCCTTGGTGTTGATGAGGAAGAGAAACAGATTGCTACTGTTTTTCTGGAGAGGACAGTGTTGGGGTCCTGGGTCTGGGTAAGTAGGTAAGAGGGTGCCTTGGTTACCACCTCCCACTGACCCAGTCTCACCCTGTCTCCTCCCTACCCACCCTGCAAAGGAAGAGTCTCTTCTTGCCCTCCCCTCCCATCCCAGGGAAGAACAGGGGCTTTGGGCTCTAGATGCAGAAGACAGATCCATCCACCACCATCCTGGCCTTTCCTCACTCCCTCTCCACCACCCACTCTTTTCACTGAGAAGGAATGAACACTGCCAGACTGAACTCCAGTCAGACTGAACCCCCCCTGGCTGGCAGAAAGGGGAGAATGTGAGGGACACCAGCAGGGACCCCCAGAAACTACTTCTTTCAATGTAACCCTGAACTTATTGAATATCTATTACATGCTAGATCCCGCATTAACTCAATGAGTTTTCCAACAACCCATCTTGCCCATACCTGCCAATTCTCTTCCTTTAACGCCTAACCAACCTGTGCCACTCAACTTGGATGTCCCTTCCTCAGGGAGACATTTTCTTGTTCTCTGGACCTAGCCCAGCCCTGTTTTCCCCCAATTAAAATGTGGATGTAAAAAATATATATATTTTTAGATTTTATTTATTTATTTTTAGAGAGGGGCAGAGAGGGAAACATCAACGTGTGGTGCATCTTGCGCGCCCCCTGCTGGGGACTTGACCTGCCACCCAGGCATGTGCCCAACACTGGGAATTGAACCACCAATCGTTCGGCTCACAGGCCGGCGCTCAATCCACTGAGCCACACCACCAAGGGCTAAAAAGAAATAATTTTAAAAAATCAAATACAATGTTTCCTGCTTTGGACTGTGGAATCCAGCACACCTGGATTTGCATGCAGGATCTGACTCTGAACAAGCCACAAACCTCCAAGCCTGTGTAAATACCTGTAAAATTGGCTTTACAGGTTGAACATTTCCACAGCATCCCTGAGAGGTGGCTACAAGGAAAGAGACCCATGGAAATTACTTTGCATGGTACGTGGCACCAAGTGGGCATTTAATAAATGCCAGCTATTCATTTTGACTGCGGAAACTGGGGTTGTTGTGTTCACTGCCATGCGCTCTGCCCAACTGCAGCTCAGTACCTAACACATATTGTGTAAGATATTATTATTCCCATGTTCTAGGTGAGGAAATTGAAGCTCTGAGAGATCAAGGGACTAATCCAAAATCATATAGGTGAGAGGCAGAGCTAGGATGTAAATCCAGAACTGGGGGTAGGTGAGCTTGGACGCTTGTGCACTTCACCCTCCTCCAGCAAATCCCTTAAAGCCCCTCACCGTGGGAGTCTCCTCTTGAAACTCCTCAACGCCCAGCCGCAGGCGGCTCAGGTTCACCCACCACAGCAGTTGGTGTAGAGAAGCTGTTCACGTGGATGTCTCGTCGCCTCTCCCCCTGCTGGACACCAAGGAACCAGAGGCAGGTCACACTTCTTCCCACCAGCCCAGACCGAGGGCTCTGGCACAAGGATCCCCCAAGGGCCTGGGCCACTCTCTGGCACCTATATATTTAGGACAGCTCCATCAGCTCCATAGGGATGATAGAACAGGCTACAAAGCCCTCTCTGGAGGCTGTGTCCCCAGACCAATCTCAGGCAGGGGCAGAGTGGTTCCGGTTCCTCCAGCCACTGTTCTGAGAGTCCAGGAGGAAAGCCTGGGGCACCTGGAAGTCCCCTCACCGGATGAGTACCATCCTGAAAGAAAAGTTATTTATTCTGGTGTCTGGCCCTCACCCCCCGGGCAACTTTTAGATCCCTAACTGAACCCCCAAGATCCCAATGACTGCTCAGAGGACCCCATTCTAGAACACCCGGGGACTCTCCTGGATGGCGGCAAGGGTCCTTAGGGTCCCCAATATTGGAGGTCTAAGAGTCTGGGGGGCGTGGTCCCCGGAAGATAAAGATGTGCCCATCGCGGGGCGGGACAACCCCAGCGTGGTCGACCAGGGAACTCCATTCGGAAGGGTGCTTTTGGGACTAAAACACTCCCGCCCTGGAAACTGGAGCGCTGGACCGCTCCATCACGCGTGAGGAGCGGGGGAAATAGAACGAGACCACTCCAAGACAGAGGCTTCTCTGGGAAAAAGCTCCCCACCCTCCACCCCTGCCCCAGACCGCCGCGCTGTGGGACTCATCGTCAGCGCCAGCCGGTGGGTGCGCCCACAGCAGCAGCAGAAAAAGCCTCTGCCCCTACTCCGTGGAACTCCAGCCCGCGTCCCCTTTCTTCTAGCGCCACCTCAGGAGCCACCGCCCCCCCTGAAACCGCCTTGGACGCTCCCAGGCCCGCCTACCGTGGAGCCAATCACCTGACGGTGGGGGCCGACCTTGCGGCTTTTCCAGCTCATCTAACCAATCAACGATTGCCTCCTCTCGAACCTTCCCCTCACGAAACCAAATGGACAGCACTGGCTCGGAATGGGAGTGCTGGTCTTACTGAACTCCGCCTCCATCCTCAACAATCACTGGAATTGTCCCGGATGTAATTTTGATAAACAATCCATCAACCAATGGTAATAGACCTGATGTCCGACCACCCAGTCTTAACTAATAGACCGGCCCAGGACTACAGTATCCAGAATGCAGAGGGACAAACAGCTCAACAAAACTTTAAGCAAACTACCTTTCCCAGGATTTCCAAAGACCGGCTTCCACTTTCCTACTCTCGGGATGTGGCTCCCAGCCAGAGTTCAGGGTTTTGGTAAACACGAGCATCTGCTAAGAGACCGGTCCTGTTTTAATCTTTTTGATCAACCCCAGAAGCCTAAACTTAGCCAGAGGCTAAATCTTGACCCTAGGATGACCTATGACCCCAGGCTGGGTCCCAGCCTTAGGTGAAGTCTCCTATCCCAGGGTGAGGCAACTAGAAGCCCACCCCCAGATCCCAGGCTTGTCTTAATTATGGGCTGAACCCGGACCGCAGGCTGAGTCTCCTTCCAGGAGCTGAGCTCTAACTTCAGCCTGAAACCCTAATTCCCCATGCTCTTCTGACCCTCGACCTCCACTGAGCCTTCATATGTGGTTGGGTTTTCCACCTGGACTGAGCGCTGACCCCATTTGAGGCCTGACCACTGGACCCTAGTTTGAGTGTTAGACCCCTTAGTGGGCTGCTGACCCCTCTGCTAAGCCTTTAATCCCTCTGATCCCATCACAACTTCAGTACCAACCTGACATAAATTCCAAATCAGATCTGAGTTTGAGACCAGAGTTGAGACCCTAATCCCAGGCTGAACAAAAGAGTTCAGACTCCAGTCTCCCCAAACTCGAGCACAACCCACTTCGGAGTTTAAGGTTTTGTACTTCAAAAGCCACCAGCAGGTGGGGCCAAGTCCCCGCAGAGCCACCTCTTCCAGTGTGGGCTCCCCGGAGCTATCCTCCAGAGCTCCCTGGAATGTGAACGGGGAGTCTGGGAGCTCAGAACCTAACTTGTCCTTGGGGCCAGAGCTCCCAGCCCCAGCAGAGCGTCTGTCACCTCTGTAGCCACAGGGAAAGCACCACAGGCGGGGGAGAATAAGGATGGGAGCTGCTTGGGATCTCTCCCCTTTCATCCCTGTACCTCAAAGGGATTAACAAAGTGTGAACAAACTTTTATGAGAGAGCCAAAAGACTTCCCAGCCCCAGGCTCGAGTGTCTGGAGGGAGGGGCGGAGTCGGAATTCCAGTCTGTACAGACAATTAAACCTCATTGGGCCTTGATGGATGAGGCTGAAAAATGGGCAGGTGCAAGCGCGAACTGGGCAAGAGCCGAGGAAAGGCCTGGGCCCGGTGCCCCAAGGACGGCCCGTCCTCAGTTTCCCGGTGCAGACTTTAGGGAAGGGAAGGCAGGATGCGGTGGGGGTGCTAATGGACCCGGCCTTGGCGGAGGCGCGTCCTGGGCAGGATCGAAGTCCTCCTATCCGCCCTGTGGCCGGAGGGACTAGATCATTAGTGCGACGAGCACAGATGTCTGGAGCCGGGCCGGCCCGCAGGAGCTGAGTGACCTCAGATTCTCCCTGCGAAAGGGTGGGGGAAGGACCTTTGTATGGGGTTTAGTGCCTTGACTCTTTAAGGAATGGTTGAAGGGAAAGAGGAAAGTTAGAACAGTCCGGGACGAGGCAGGGATCGGGAGGACAAGAAGGGCCTGGGGATTTGAAAAACGGATGGGGGTCCTTTAAGGCGTCTGTCCAGTACTGTCCGGTGACTACGTAACTTTAAGGGGGCGGGGCGTCTTTTGGGACCGCCTCTTTGGGGGCCAAGCCTTTAGGTCTCGGTGCCGGAGCTCCGCGCGGGTTGGGCGTGGCAGAGCCTGAATAGGCGTGGCAGAGACGAGAGTGGGCGGGTCCTGGGCGGGGCGGGGCGGGGCCGGGCGTACCGCCTTAGGCTGAGTCTCCCCGC